GAGGGGGGTTGGCCCAGGTGACACCTGGCTACGCCAGCCACTCCTCAGTGGCTCCGGTTTTCCGAGCAGAAGGTTGGTCCGTGCCAACTGCCCATGTCTTTCCGTGTTGTGCTGGAAGTGTCCTCCCATCCTCCCTCCCTCCCTCAATGCTTTGTTATGAAGGACTAAAATCCCTAAACACAATCCAAACTTTTAGAGTCTGTAATGCTCTCGAATGGTTATCAGAATTCTCTAGGAAGAGAAGTGGAGGCTAAATGGGGGAAAATTATGGAACAAAATGCAGGTGTGGGAAAATCTGCTGCCAGAGAACCGAAGTCCTCAAAAACTGCCTGGGGCCAGAAAGCTCCGGAGGACTCTGCTGAGAGTGGAAGTCCAAAGGAGAAACTGAGACCCTGAGGAGGCAGAGTCTATATTCCTGTGGCCATTGGTAAAGATGCTACTATAACGGTGCTGGAAACCAGGCATCTGTGCACAAATACCCCTTTCCAAGCTTGGCCCCTGGTAACACACCCAGACAGACACCATTAGGCCTGACAGCTATACTGGTGCTAACAATGTCCCTGGCATTAGGAAAATTAAATATCATAAATGATTTTTAGTATCACTAATAGTTAAGAGATACAAATTAAAAGGATACTGTTTTGCCTACACATTTAGCCAAACTGGAAAAAAGAACATATGGCACCCAGTTTTAGCAAGGGTGGGAGGGAAGGCCGTCTGCCCAGGCTGCCGAGTGAGCGGATCGCTCAGGGAGGGCTACCGCACATCAGTCCCTTTTGAGTCAGCACATCTCCTTCTTAGAACCGGTCCCGCAGACACTGCACTGGGCGGGCAGGGAGAAGGCCGGGACGCGGCTGCGGCGGTCTTCCAAGGGTGAGACGCTGGGTATGAGCGTTCACCAAGGGGAAGCTGTTTAAATGCACGACGGACTGCCCTCCAAAGAACATGGTGCAGCTACTGGCGAGAAGGACATGTGGAAAGATGTCTAAAATACAATGGGAATGGGAAAAAGCAAGTTTCAAGAGAGTCCACATGATAGGAGGCTTGTCAGGTTGAAAATTAGAGGAGGTCACATTTTCAAAGCTGTCATGGTTTGTTCTGCCAAGTACACTCCTCTCTTCTCTTGGGACCTACCCCTTCTCTCCTCCATCTACAGTGCTCCCGTGTGTGATGCAGGTAGGTGCTGAAGCCTATCTGGGTAAGGTATCTCTTCCAGGATTTTCGTCCCTGACACTGTGAAACCAGTCAGCCTCATGTACGAATGCAAGTGGTGCGCTGGTGTTCTGCCCTTTGGGGGGCCTGCCTGCAGCAGGGAGGAGATGGAAGCAAGTGCGGGGGTAGGGGGGCTGCACAGCTGGATGTGGCGTGGCCTGGCCGTGTGCGGGTCTGTCTGCTACTGCTCAGCCTCATTAGTCCTCTGCCCTCAGCCCGGGATGCAGCTCCTGCGTGGCAGACCTGCTATCCTTCCAGCAAGACCCCTTTGTTCAAGCTATTTGAGTCCCTTTTGTAACTGGCAACCAAGGGTCTTAACTGATTTTTTTTTTTTAAAGTACAGTTCAATCAGTGGAAATATACCCCAAACTGTCTGCAGTGTCCTTTCCAGTGAGGTGCCTGGCATGGAGAATGCTATGTAATGCTTGGTTTTAATTATTTATTTTACAATGAGCATTTCATTCTTCTGAAGTCAGGAGGTTAGGTCTTGGGGGCGGGGCGGGGTGGGGGGGAAGCGTTTCAGATCTCTGCCTCATTTCCATAGAACCTGAAAGGTCAGTGGCAAGGATGTTTGAGCAGGAGGCCCGAGGACCATGCTGTAGCATTGGGGAAGGTGTCCGAACAGGACTTTAGAATTTATGAACCCTTCTAAGCATGGATGCCAGGAGTTCGGATGAAGTCTTCTGATACTTGGATGGGGAGAAGGCCTGTGTTTTTCAGAGACAAGCAAAGGTAATGATTACAACAGCCAGGTCTGGTCCTCGTCTTAGCCGCTGGAGCCTGCTGACGGTGATGGCACAGGCCCGCCCTAACTGGAGGGCTGTTTTACTGACATCCGTCCTTTCAATACATGTGATTCCACTGCCCCCAACCTTTCTTTCTTCCCCAACAAAACTCTTCATTAATCACGACCAGCTTCAAGGGCAAGGGCTGGGCACCTCGAGCTCCGCTGCCCTCGCCCCGCGCCCTGGATACGCCCCAGGGCGCACGGCCAGCCAGGTGGTGTCCTGGCCCCCGGGAGGCGCCCGGGCTCCCCGCAAGCCCAGGCTCCCCACGGGGCTGCAACTGCACCCTCGCACGGCGCGCACCGTGGTCCCAGCCCGATGGGAGGGCCACGGGGACTCAGGTCCCATCTCAGTGAGGGCAGGCCTGTGGCAGCTGCTTCTGTGTTGGCCCCACATCCTTTTGTAGATTGCAATCAACGATTGTGCTTCCACCAAATGAACCAAAACCATGATGCTTGAGAATAAGAGTGGGTTTGATGGAGAATTCCGATTTCCAACATGTTAGCCCATCTGCCTCTGTTGCGATCATGCCGATGAAGCCACCCAGGCCATCGTTACCTAGTGATTCTGCCCATTAAGACAATTACACTTCTGGGTGAGGCCATGGCTGTTTTTCAAGAGAGAACCAGCAGCATCCCCGGGCTCCTGCCAACAGTCAACTGATGGCCCAGCTCTCCTATTTTATTCTTCTTGCCAGTCAGTCTTCTGTTCCTTTCCAAAACCATGGCCCTCGTGTCATCGGGAGCTGTCTGCGTGCTGCTAGAAGGGCCCCAGAGGCCCGGAACTCAGCATTCCTTCCCTGAAACCCTGAGGATGAGCTAACAGACGCTCTGACTAGAATTCTCTGCGCCAGTTGGTTGCAGTGGGGATGGGGAGGGGATTTATGGAGCCACGTAAGGCGTCAACTCAGAAAGCTCCTGTTCTTTCTTTCTTCCATAAACTTGACATGGGAGAATGTCTGAACTGGAACGGCAAGAGTTACAAACAAAATGAATTATTACTGTTACGAAAGGGGTCAGTGGTTTCTGAGCCCATGTTTAGCGTTAGGCTGTCGAGCTGGGTGATGACCTCCGAAGGTGGGACGTGCCTGACACGTCTGCACTGCTCGGATGCGGGCGGCAGTGTGAGGGGGAGCTTTTAAAGGGAACAGAGTGAAATCGGGGCTAGAGTCCTCTGCACCTTGATGGGAGGACCCACTGGAGACTGAAATTAGTTCAAGGGACGCTCTTTAGTGAGGTCGTCCTTGAAAGCAGAGATGGTGCTGAATTGATCACAACCTGAAGAGATATAGTACCTAAAATTAAGTGTCTCTAAGAAAACTGCCTGAAAATCAAGGCTTATCTATGTGTTAAAGTATTTCTAACATTCAAAACCTGCACTTTCACTAAATGGATGGTGAGAGTTCATACTCCAGACGCCAAATTTGTGTCTGATTTGGATTAAAACCACAAAATTATTTTTGAGGTAGGGAAGGTGTGAGCAAAAATCTGTAACACTCGCCTTATACGCTACTGAAACAGTACGTATTTCCTGTCAACCCAATTCTTATGCTCACTAATGCAACAGAACAAGGTCCCTGACAAAACGAGAGCTAACTCTATTGTAAATGAACATGGAAATTACAGATTATGCACATCTGGAGAAGTCATTACGAAGAGCATCTGCTTTCTGTGTTCAGACAGAAGAATCTGGTTTTAAGTTAAAAATAAATTATAATCTGTGCTTCACTGAATAAGACAATTGTTGCTAGAGTCAAGGGAAAATAAGTCCCTTGTGTTTGCAGGCACCTGGCCAAAGAAGTTATTGGGAATGTCCCCTTTCCTGAGGCACCAGGTCCGGGACAGGTAAATGGATGCATTTAAGCAGATGACTGTGTCCTGCCAGTGGGAAAGATGAAAACATTTAATTGCTTTTAGGTACCAGGAAAACAACAGTATCTCTCCTTTAGCTCTCGAGAGTCAATCTATCTTTATGTGTTTCGAGTCACTTGATGTGCAAGTAGACGTTGCATTTTAAGGTCATAATATCCAACCTGGTTTAGTGGAAACAACAATATGTTTGGTGCTGAAGTCCTGGTTCAAGTCCTCATGTCCCTCGTACCTACCAGCCATATAACCTTATCTAGGCAGGTCACTTACACAGCTCTAAGTCAAAGTTCTCTCCCCTGTGAAGATGGGGGTAAGCTACCCATCCTGTCTTTTAAGATTTGGTGATCACATAGGAATCTCTAACAAAGCACTTCCTAGACTAAGAACTGGTATATAAATGGAAGGCAGTCATGTTTTTAGGGCTTTGGTGGGAAGAAATGAGAAGATGGCTAGACAGGGTTTCATTGACCCCCATCCAAAAGAGCCCAAAAGCTCCAGCAAATTACTCAGCAGGCCTCCACTGCTTTCCTCCTTCTCTTTTTCAAGAACTCACTTCAGTTTTCTAGATTTGCAAACTTGAACTCAGGTTCATGATTAAGTATCTGTTAAGCACATGCTATGAATATGACAACCTTCTAAGAGGCAGAGATGAGACAGAGGGCGTCATTATTGCCTGAGAAGAACTGACAAAGACAGAGGCACAAGATGATGGGAGAAGACAGAGGATGGAACAGGACATAGTGGTCTGGGCCTTGGGTGATCAGGGGCCATTTGCAGCAAACAGCTACTCCAGATGCTTCCAGGAAATCAAGAGCTATAATGAAGTGCAGAACAAAAGAAGAATAGGAGAAAGAGCCACTGACATGAAGGTAGGTATGGGTTCCATCCCTACCACTTTTGTGAACAAATCACCCCTTCTCTCTGGGTTGTAGTTTCCCCAAATGGAAGGCCCGTTCCAAAGCTCCCACTCTGATTCTCCGACTCTTCCCTGGATGGAGCAGACCGCAAGCCGGGACAGAACTTGGCCCTTACCCAAGCCTCCCAGGCCTGAGAGCGGGGTTACTGCGTGTTGAGCCCAGCGAGCGGATGGCATGTGGACACATGCCCCCCTCGCAGCAGAGAGGCTGAGAGTTACCTGGTGTGGCTGTTGGAGGACAGGCTCTCCCAGGGCTGCACGCTGCAGCCGGCCACGGCGAAGGCGCCCCCACAGCTGCCGTCCAGCTTCAGGAGCAGGGCCTTGGCCGCATTCTCAGCCGTCTTCCGGCAGTCGTGAGCGCGCTTGAGCATCTGAGTGATGTTTTCATCCCCTGACTGGTCTCCTGAGAGAAGCCAATGGATTCATTAAGGCAGGTCTAGGTAAGACGGGCACGGGAACAAGTGTGGGCAATCACTTCTCAGTCACTCGGGGGCGGAGGCAGCTCGGTGGAGAGGAGCCAGCCACGGACGGCCGTGCTCTGGGCCCGGCTCTGTGGTTCAGCGGCTGTTCTCAGGAAAGCCTTCCTCTGCTCCGGGCTCCACTGTCCTCACCAACAAATGAAGGGTTGGCCAATGTGACCTCTGAGGTCTGTTTCCAGCTCTAATATGCTATGATTTTCTAATTACCCAGGCTCCTGGCTTCTCCTCCCACCCAATCCCAAGTCTACGGGTTGGCCGCTCTTCCCTGTGTGGGCGCTTCCTTGAGAACGAGGGCAGGGAGAACCTGAGGGAAAACTGGGTCATATCTCCTGAGGCTATGGTTTTGGGAAGAGCTTCGTGTAGGCAACAGTGACAAGCCTCATGGTTAAAATGCGGACTTTAGGCTGGCCCTGCAGTTTTGGTACCGACGCCATCCCGGACCTCCCTCACAGGTCCGCTGCGGCCAGTGGCAGGCTCCCATGCCTCCAGGGACCGGGTGGCCGGGCTGGAGCCAGCGGTCAGGGGCCAGACAGTGAACCCCCTGCCCAACCCCCTGCCTAACAGGTTTATCTTCTTGCTGTGCTTTAAAAACTGTACTGGGCAAACAAGTTAACCAGTTTGCATTCTGTACAGCCTAGACTCACGATCTTCCAAATATTTTCAATGAAAACCTTATACCAAAGCCTAACATACAAAAAATAGTAAGTGTGGAACTGGCTGAAGTGGGCAGGGGTGGGTCACACATTCAGCTGCCCCCACCTCGGAGCCCTGAAGAAATCCCTCCAGCTCCCCAGGGCACAGTTTGAAAACTGACCGTCTAAATCATCTACAGTGAACTTACCGAGCGTCTGTGCCGTCAACCAGAAACAAAGGAAAAACCCACAGTAATTGGCACTATGGGTAAATATCACACACTAGTACTGCTTTGCTGTGCAACGATATGGCCCGTTAAGGTCCGGTCAGTGGGATGGAAGAATGAGATTTAACAGGGAAGGGCTAAAAAGTAAGCCACCTCCCAGCCTTCTGGGGAGTGGGGAGGAAGTGCAGGGCGCCTGCCCTGCAGGCTGAGATTCCTGGGCCTCCCTGGGGCCACTTCTCTCAAAACCTTCCTGCCTTCCTTCCTTCCACAAATAAAATATTTTCCAGCCCCTACCAAGTAACTGCGATGAGTAGACACAAGCCTAATCAAGGGTACCTTTCAAGGACAAAACAGTTTAAAGTATTCCTCTGATACAAACTGGAAATAAGGTGATTGATTTTTTTTTCCCTTTAATTGATCGGTTTTCTTAATACATATATTTAAAAAACTTGACAGCAGGCCAAGATCATTTTAGGATCTGTTTAATATGAGGAATAAAGTTTTATGGTTCTTTTAAAAGACCCTGAAAAATGAGGGTTCTAATGGAAATGCTGGCAGAGTTTCTACCTCTGGGCCGAGATGGTAATCCTCTTACGGAAAAACAAAGAAGGGAGTGCAGGACGGTCCCGGCACACATGGAGGCCTGCTGCCTGGCTGGGCAGGTTGGATGTGAGGCAGGAAATTAATACCCAGGACACTTCCTTTCCTTTCCTTTAGATTTGCTTCAGATTCCTGCACATGTCAAAACTGAAGGAGGAAAAATACGCACATGTTCAGTGCAAAAGCTAGACCCCAGACAAGGAGGGGGAGCCACTGGCAGTGTTGGGGGGATTCATCCCGGAGGTGCCCTGATGGTGACCTTCTTTGCCAGGTGTGTCTTGGAAGGAAAAGCCCTCACAAGGCTCACAGCTTGTACAGAAAAGCCAGTTCTTGCCCTGGCTGGTGTGGCTCGGTGAGTGTTGGCCTGAGAACCAAAAGGTCTCTGGTTCGATTCACGGTCAGGGCACGTGCCTGGGTTGTGGGCCAGGTCCCCGCAGGGGTGTGGGGGAGGCAACCATTCTATGTGTCTCGCACATCAGTGCTTCTCTCCCTCCCCACTCTCTAAAAAATAAATAAATAAATAAAATCTTAAGAAAAAGAAAGCCAGTCCTTGACTGATGGCCTGGTCCCCATGTCTGGGGACCCCTGGCCTGCCTACACCAGCCAGCACCCATCATGGCTCGGTGCGGGGGCGGGGGGGGGCGCGCGCGATCCAGTCACTTCAGTTTTCTGTCTACTTGCTGTTGCTTCTCCAAAGAAACCACTGGTATAAAGCGCAGGCCCGGGGCCTTGACACCGAGGAGCCAGCCTTTCTCCCTGGGCCCCCCTTCCTTCTCATGCACCGTGCCTACTGCAGACCTGCTTGTGTTACTGCAAGAACAGGGGCTGCAGTCTCTGGTGAAGGTTTAGCGAACGTGGTTAATTAGGACAGAAGTGGGGGACAGTGCAGGTCTGGAGGAACAAATGAGGCCAAGGGGACCCTGGCCCAGGGGGTGGGGAGATGAGAGGGGCAAGGGCGTGTCTGTGCTCCAACACCCAAAACTGCAGGATGAGGCAAAGGCCACATGGGCAACAACGGGACTCTCAACAGCCACACAGAGAAGCTGTGGAAAAGCCAGCCCCTTTCATCACGAACGAGGGCCTCCCGCTCCATCTGGTCCTCCTGCCAGCCAGGGAGGATGTGTTTCCTAAGAGGGCTGGTTTGCTTGAACTTATGTGTGATTCTGTTTCCACTCCAGTTCTTGCTGCATTCAACATAAACAGCTTACTCACTCAGTCATGAGGGAAAAAACAAAAAACACTTGACAAGCAAATTTCTCGTTGTGGGGATATGCCGGCTGTTCAAAGCCAACAGCCAGGATGGGGCAGTAGAGCAGAAGGGGCCAGGGACGAAATGAGGACGAGGGATGGGGGCTCAGGCCACACTTACCCGGGGTGGACCCCACGCCGGCTGCCCGGAACTGCCCCAGGATGAGGCTCTGCTCGCTCTCAGCCAGGGCCAGGAGGAGTTCATAGGCTTCTATGCACTGCTCACTGCAACACAAGCACAGGGCCTCCTCAGCTGGGGCGGAGGGCGGGAGCCCCTCCACCTCGCTGTCCTGTCAGCCAGGAAACACCCTGGACAGAGCCAGGGACACGCTCTGCTGTGTTGTACCCCGCGCCCGCCTTTTAACTTTAAACCAGGATCTAGAAAAATACAAAAGAAACCATACTCATGCGAGAGGCAAGTTTGTTGCCCTTTGCGTGAACCACTAAAAAGGAGAGGCAGTGCAGCCTGCGTGCTGGCATCCACACTGCTCCAGGGTCGGTCTGGGCGACCGAAAGAATAGGGCAGAAGGACTGGCATGTCGCATTGAAGACTGGATTGTTAAAAGGGCTGTGACTTCCACCTCGGCCACTCTCCCTGCGCTTTCTCTCTTGCGTCATCTTCTCTAGAGGAGGCCATGTCTTGAAGACACTTGAGCAGCCCAATGGAAGGCCCATGGGGCGAGAAACTAAGGCTTCTAGCCAACAGCCGGGGAAGGACTGAGGCCACCCCCACACGGCCGTGTGAACCAGCCTCCTCTGAAGCAGACCTGCCAGCCGCAGCTAAGGTTTCCGAGGACGCGGTCCCCATGGATGGCGTCACCAAAACCTCTTAAGAGACCCTGAATCAGAGCCACCCAGATTCTTGACCCTAAAAACTGTGACATAGTAATAGTTATACAGTAATAGCTCACTAATATTACACCCCAGAAAGGGGACTATCTTGAGCAGAAAGGACACTGTTTTGACCTAGATCTGCACTATTCAACACAGTAGCCACCAGCCACATGTGGCTATTTAAGTGGGAAGATTGTAAGTTAAGGGAAATGAAAAACTCAGTTCCTCAGCCACAGCAGCAGTGCTGGACAGCGCAGATGGAGAACAGTTCCGCCGCCACAGTTCTATCCGGTGTTTGCCAAACTGTCTCATGAAACACAAAATCTCGGACAACACTAGTTTTCTTTGTGCCCACCATCTTGGGCACACCAGGGAGAAGATCAAATAGCGACCCCTTTCTCATCACCCCTGGCGACCCCACATGGACCCATGTCTGCACAGGGGGTGGAGGATGTATGGAATGCCTGTGTGGTCTGGGTCAAGATGCACTGAACCCCCGCCGGAAGCAAATAACCCATTAGCTTCTCCAAGCTGAGTAGGGGAAATATTGCTGAACTCAGCATTTCGTCATCAGACCATCTGTTTTTTGATTGTCTTTGCTTTCATCTTCCTTTACTGAGAGGGATAAGGAGAAGGGTGCAGTCTTGAGCTCTGGGTGCAGGCAGCGGCTCCTTTCAAGGGCAGCCCACCTGCCAGGTCGGAGATGCGGGGACAATGCTTCGTGCCTGAGGGTGACAGGCAGATGTGGCTGCAGAGCAGCCTGCTTCCAGAGTTATCAAAATTGGTTATCTGTTTGCTCTGGTCTATAAACACGCGTGATGGCTCTCGAGCTGTGGGCTTGTATATTTTGGTTTGACTTTGTTTTCTGAAGAAACAAAGTGTCTTAAAACAATACCGAACTTTTTAGAGGATGCCAAGAGTAAGATATAGTCAGTACTCTGGGACCCTGGCAAATATGCCTAAGTGGTGACACTAATAAAATAAACCCATGAAAACAATCACAAAACATAGCTTTCTAGCTATTTAAAAAGCAGTAGTTTAAAAATAGATAAATTTCAAAGCTGATGAGGAGGAAAAAAAGGGGCACACTCATATATACCACCTGTTCACCAGTGAATGCATCGTGGTTATTTAAACTGGCTTGTTTTTATGGAAAAAAAACAAAAACAACCACAACAACAAAACTGGCAGCATGTCTGAAGAGCCGTGAAAATATTCTTATCCTTTGACCTATAATTCCTGCTTCAGGGATGTTATCCCAAGGAAAATATTAAAAAGGATGAAGATACTATATGCATTAAATTATTCACCACAGAATTATTTTCAATGTCAAAGCATGAAAAAGTCTTTTAGAGAGATGAATAAATAAAATAACAATATATAAACTAGATGTAGGGGATACAGCCATTCAAAATAAATGGAGACTATTAAGTCACATTGCAAAATTGTAACACACTGAAGAAATAGAGTGCACCAGATTTATAACAAGGTAAAATATATGTGAATAAGAATAAACACTGGAAAGAACAACAAATGAATGCGTAATACAAAGATCGTTATTTTGAGTGATGTCACCTAAGTGAACTAATATTTAAGTTGAATATGCTGGCCGAAACATACCTGTTTACTAACCACACTCATTACTCCTATTTTCTTAATTGCTACAAGTGTGCTCATTGATTTTCAATATGCATCGTACTAGTATTTGCTGGTCCGACCCCGCAGTAATGTCTTCTAAAAGCCTGCTTTCTACTTTACACAGAAGGTTGCTATCGATGCATTTCTACATGAAAGAGGCCCCACCCCTCCACATCCCACCTGTACTGCAGGGCCAGCCTCAGAGCTGTGGCATTGGATTCGTATTTGCCCACCAGCATGCTCATCCGCTCGGCGTTGCTTTTGCATTCTTCCAGGGTTATGGTCAGGAGGTCATTTTGGGATTTGAGGTGTTCAATACGGCTACAAAGGAAGAAAAATTTCAATTTCACAGCAGGATCACAATTAATTTGTCAATATTTTAGTCGTCTAATCTGGATGCAGGCTGGAAATGCAGGTTAGGAAGTGAGTCTGTCAGATATTTTAGCAAATGTAACTGACATGAAACAACAAAGGAAGCAACTGTAAGTAAAAGAACCACTAAATTCTGTGTGACTTAGAAATAAAAATAAGTGCCCGGTTATTTCCTACCCAGCCATCGACCATGTGTTCTGGGGACAAACCAGGGAGAGGAGCAAATGCGTGACCTCAGGCCCCCATGCGGAGCATGACTGGCACCCTTCAATAAGCCACAGGGACAAATGAAAAGTGCATTATAGTCTATTCGCTGAGCCCTTGCTGAATAACCCTCGCAACAGCCCTTTGAATTAAGTATCATTATCCCCATTTCTCAGAAGAGGAAGCAGAGACACAGAAAGGTTAAGTACTTTGTCCTGGAGTTTGAACCAGGCAGTTTGACCCCAGATCCTGTGCTCTTAACTACTCGCTATAGAGCAGAAGCAAAGGTGAATTAGGGAGTGAAAATAAAACTGCCCGACAGGCCTCCGAATGGGAAGTGGACCAGGACCTCCGGCGCGCGACCAGAGCTCCTTCCAAACAGGGCAGTCCTGCAGGTGCTAAGTACTGGCAGGACTAGCAGTGGGAACATTAGGCTTTATAGGAATCAGAGCTATACATTCAGAGCAGATGAGCTTATGACAAAGTCAGGAAAACATAAGCCTTCGGCTTCTCCATTTCCTGTCCCAGGACACTGATCCTCTAGGTACAAGGGTTCATTTTCCAAAGGACACACGCATTTGTAGGACTCTTGACCACCAAGTCTTAGACAGAGCGGTTTACATGCACACAAATGCAAGTGATGCTTAAAATGTTAAGCGTGGAAGCCATTTGCCTTGAGACTCGATCCTACAACCATGTATCTGAGAGCAGAATACAGAGACACTCCCCCAATGGGAGATGCCCAGTTGAGTGTATAGCAACACCACTGTGACGCTTAGGCAACTCCAAGATCAGGTCAATGTAAGGTGTTACAGAACATACTTCCTCTGTCCTTGTCACATGAAGGCTTCCTGACACAGTTCCTAATTTCTCATTACTTTTCAACTTGCTCCCGTGAACATTTGGTCCCCACTCATCAGATCAAACTGTTTATCCAACTCACACACCTCCATGTAGACAAAGCCATTTCAGGGGCCTTCCCAGGCGACACCCCGTGAATGGGCCACTCCTTCCTCTTTAAACATTCTTCCTCACTTGGGTCATGATAGGCCTCTCCTGGTTTTCTTCCTGCACTTCGGGCCATCTCTTCTGCTTACTTTGCTGGCTCCTTACTGTCTATAAAGCCTGTGAGTGCTGGCGTCCTCAGTGCTCAGTCCCCTGGCCCCTCCTCTATCAACACTGCCCTGGGTGTGAGGTTTGCCCAGTCGCATGACTTTACCAAGCACTTATGTTCCCATGGCTCCCAAATCTCTCCAGTCCGGACCTCTCTTCCGGGTGCCACTCTCACACATCCAGCGGTTTCCTGATTTTTCATTGTGGGTGTCACATGGACCCCTCCAATTTAACACTCTCAAGTGGGACTCTTGATTTTTCCCAAACCACTGGGTCCTCCTCCATCTTCTTCATCGTGGCCAGTGCCACCACCACGCACCTCACCATACAGATGAGATGCCTGAGAATCTTCTTTGAGACCATCCCTTCCTCCCCTCTCCATATCTAAAAGAGCTGTGGTTTCTGCTGATTTTACCAGCAAATACAGACAGCCCCGCCCCTTCCCCCCACCTCCATGTCGGCCACGCTGGTCCACCGCATGCCCTCTCTGCTTCTGCTCTGGCCCCGCCCCTTCCCATTCCTCACACTTGACCAACCTCTCAAAGTTTAGAGCAGATCTGTTCTCCTTCTACTGAAAACCATTTCACAACTTCGAATTGCCCATGGCCTCAAAGTCCCTGTCCCACCAAAGAGCCCTGACTCTTCTGCCACCTTATCTCGTGTAAGTCCTCCTCTCACTTCCTCTAGTTCAGTTCCATTGGCCTCTGGACAGCTGCCAACCTCCTTCCAGCCTTGGGTGCATAAGTTGGCCCATAAGACAATTCTTACTTTGACATGTGGGTGCTCTTTTCCTCCCTTAAAACCTCAACTTAAATGTTCCCTTTGCAGAGATGCTTTCCCTGGCTACCACTAGAAAAATCGACCCTCCTTGTTATTCTGCCAGAGGCCTGTTTACTTGGAGCTTTCTTATGATCTTATTTGTTTGCTTTTTGTCTAGTCCCCCTAAGAGGATATAAGCTCCATCAGAGCAGGGACCTCGTTTGTTTTACTTCCCCCTTGGCACGCCGAATAGCCTAACACAGTGTCGGCCCTTAACACATTGGTTAAATGACGAAGCACTTTTGATTAGGTATGACCCTGCTTCCCCTCACCCCCAGCCTCCCACCCCCCACACGGAAAGTTAAAGGCTGTCATTTTTTGGAGGGTAATAGGCCTCCAACTTTGCAATAGGTAGTTAAATAATAACAGATGCGAGGGCATCCTGTTAGGTTATTTCTAAGAACTCCCATGTTGTAGCTGCAGCTCTGAGCGTAGAGAGGATAATGGAGGTAAGGTCAAAGGGCAGGGCTTGGACTTCTGGCTAGGCTGGCTAACAGCTCTGCACTTTAGGCGAGTCACTCATTGTGGAAGCCTTTGCTTTCTCCTTTGCAAAACGGGGCTCCTACTCTGCACTCCCAAGTTGATGATTAAGTGGTTGTCTGTGAGAGCCCTTTGTAAACTGTTACACACCATGATAATGTGAGCTACAAGCACCAAATAGTTCCTTCTCCTTTGGTCTCTCCTAGGTGCACATAATTGAAGAGAAAGGAGCCTCCCCCAAGTTCAGCTACAAAGAAGGCTTGTTAAATCCCAGAATCTGTGGAGGGAGAACCTCACTAAACGGAGGGCCCCTGAAGGCATCTGTCTTCATTAAACTGCAAAGGGCATGTCTGCTTCCATTTTTAAGCCCTCCCCGGCCTGTGATACAGCACTAAGGGGGCTGCTTCCTTCTTGCTACAAGGTAATCATCAAGATTGTTACTCTTAAGTATTTTGGATTTAATAAGGAAACCATTTAATTTCAAGATTTAAAATGACCTAGATTTACCACATTTCCTTAGTTCTCAAGCACTATATTAAACAGCTTCAAATCAGGGAGGACTTACACAGTAATTCAATTTATTCCGGTTTGCCACACGCAAGGGGAATGGCATTAAGTGGCTGGTGGATGGGGAATGGCATCTGCGTTTCTCCCTGGTGAGTTCATAAGCCTTTCCATTTCTCACTACGCTCTGCCACTGAAGCCTGGTGGAGCTGGGCAGCCGCGCCGCACTGGGATGAGATCCGGCACTCATTCTGCCACTGCGGGACGATTCGGAGTCAAAGTGGTCACCATGGTTTGGCCCTGGTCCTGCCTTGCTTTTTTTAGCAGCTCTCTCTGGCTGTTGGAATGGCACATAAGCCAGCCTTGCCCAGAGGCAGGAGGGCAACCTCAGACTACTTCTGTCATGAGACTTGGGAAGCATCCATTAAACTGGGTATATGGTAAAACTATTCTAAGTAAGGCAACACATAGGAACTGAGGGTCGTGCACATTTGTTAAAACCATAAATAAAATTAGGCAGCCTTGGTTAGAGCAGGGAGGGTTAGACCAGCATGCCTGGTTAATCCCAGGAACGCCTCTATCAGGTTGCCACTGCTGGTCCCTGGTGCCTCCAGGCGGCCCGAGGGTGCTGACTCAACACTCCCAACCTCCTCTGTGTGGCTCTCGGCCGCCGCGCTGCACGCTTGGTAGCCATCTTGTCATTCTGGCCTAATTCTCATTCTATATGAACTGCTCTGGGAATTACAACATAATTTCTGAGGGACAGTGACAAATGGAAAGGTGGAGCCCCCAGTTCATAAATTATTATGCATTTGAAACGGTGAGAGAGGAGCAGTAAAGCAAGTATGGGGTCCGTCTAAGTACTAGGCCCTGCCCGTTCAGATCACAGGTCTCCCGCCCTGGAAGCCAGCCCTGACTGCTTGCTGCAAGCACCTGTGATGAGCAAGATGGTGGACTCCCACCCACAAGCCTGGCAGCGTGACTGTCGCGGTGCATGAGCCTGCTTCAGCGGGTCTTTGCAAAGGGGAGGGAGGGCCGCTCCCATCACCACGCATATACGCACGATTTCTCCTTACCTGTTTAAGCGTTCCGTTTCCACCTCAAACTCTCTAATTTTGCTTTCAGAGATGGCAGATCCATGCGAATAGAGTGTCTGGAAGATCTCTTGGATATTGGAGCAGTCCTGAAGAGAGTGGGCCAGGTGTTCCGCCACGCTGCTGGACACCTGCACAGGTGAGCGTTAATCCCCCTCCGGACAGTGTCGCTTCAGGGACACCAACCCCAGGCATGCTGTGCATGCAGAACAATTTAAAGCTTCTATTCCTGAGGATCAGCCTCCAGAAAACGGTTACCCTGATCGTTTTCAATGTGTATAATATGATTCTAGTATAAGAAGCTAACTGTGTGCTGGGAAAGCAACACATAAACAGGATCAAAATGTAGCTGCATTCTTCAAATACAAACATTCTGGGTACTGAGCAGAGTCCAGCCTCCCTTCCCGCTTCCGGAGCCCCTGCCACTCCAGGCTCTTGTCTCTGGCTGCTGTGACCAAGGAGAGCAGCCGACTCCTTTCATTTCATAACTTAAATCTGGTGAGGAATTTAGATGCATGCAATTTTTGCTCATGCAGAATTCTAAATTAGGGTCTTAAAAGCACTATTTGGGCTCTCTCTCCCCTTAAGGATCACACAGCTGGCTCCTCTAACCTCATCCCTAAGCCTAAAAGGTACCCCTGGGGAAGCTAAACTGCTGCCTTTCCACCATCCCCCAGCTGACAGACCCAGGGGGCCCGCAGGCTCTACGAATGAACACTCTGGTACCAGGCTAGAAGGTTCTGGTCTGTCACAGCATTGGGCTGCACTTCAAAGGCAGCAGCCATCCCCACGGGAGAGTAGGCTGCCTTTCAACCGGGATGTGCAAAAGGTGAAGTTCTTTTAGAGCTTCCTGACTCACTCAGTCTCTGGGGAGCAGGGTGACAGAAAACAGATAGTTCAAGACTTTCATCTACATCACCAGCAACCAGACCTACATCATCTCTTTCTGAATGGCTTCAAGTAGAGGAAAAATGTCTCCCTTAAAGTTGAAGAAGTAATTCACCATGTGTAAAACACTATACATTTTAATCTGACTCTTTGGAAGGAAATCAGGTAGGGTTTATTATTATAATTAGTGGGCTTGCTGGAGGTGAACTTGGGAAGTTCCCCCATCATCCCCTGGCTGCCGTCTGGCAGCTCCGCGGGGAACTTCCTGGCCTAGCTTCCTGTGCGCACTCACCCCGATGCTGCTGATTTCTGAGCCCAGGATTGGTCGATCGGATGATGAGGATTCGGACCTGGTCTTTGACAGTTTCACCCTCTCTGCGATCTTAAAAAGCAAAACAACAAATGATCAAAAAAGGACACATCGATGGCCATCCAGAGAAACTGCTCGGGCTGCTCACCCAGGACTACTGGTTAACCGTGGCAACTGAACTGGTATCTTAAAAACAACTCACTTGTCCAATTTTTCTACCCTTCGTGTAACCCAGGGTTTTTCAACCTCAGAACCACTGACATTTTGGGTCGGGTATTCTTTGTTGTGGGGGCTGCTCTGTGTGTTGTAGGATGTTCAGCAGCATCCCTGGCTTCTAGCCATAAGGTGCCAGCAGCACTTCAACTGTGACCATCAAAACGGCCTCCAGACACTGCCACGTATCTCCTGGGGGGACAAAAATCACTTCTGGCTGAGAAACACTGTTGTGGCCTAACTCACTAAACCCGATGGGTGAGAACCAATCTTGGGTGGAGACATATCGTTCAAATAGTCTCTCTAGGGTGGACTCAACATAGGAGCCTGGGGCTGCGGCAAAGAACGGGAGGGGCTGCTCCTCTCAACTGCCATGGCCTGGCCATCAGTATCTATTTCTCGGCTGGCAGGGCTGTCAGTCCTGTGAGCGGGGAGATCATGGTTCATCACTCAGGGTCCCCTCCCGGGCTGTACCTCTCCATCCACCCCCTAGTATTGTGGACCCTGACAGAACGTCTCACTCTCCACAATGACCTGTCAGTTGTGACACGCTCCAGCCGGCTGATTAATGAGAGCTGGAGTCCAGGCTGCAGCTGAAAGGGACTTAAAACTATTAGTGGGTTATCTCTCCCTGCAGCTCCAGCACAGCAGGCCTGTGCGAGACCTCGGGAAGCCCCTCGGGGCCGCCTGAGCTAATCGCGTGCCTGCACAGCGGCCCTGCTTCCAGACAACAGGCGGTTCCGGCTGTCCCCAGGAGCTCACCTTGGCGATGGGAATGTCATTGCTGCTGCTGCTCGTGCTCAGCTCCCCGGTGCTGGGGTTGACCGGGCGGTTGGTGGAAGTGAGGCGGCCAGGGCTGGAGGGCCCTGTGGCCTGCACACTCTGTAGTCGAGTTTGAAGCTCTCGCACCTGAAATAAGAGTAATAATAATAAGGCCTTTAGGCACAGCTGGTGGTTCCCCTGGTCAAAGGAAAAGATAGCCAGATGTGTGGATGGTAGGACATTGCTTTACATTAAGAGATCAGCCGCACTGAATAGCTAAGTTGGTTGGATCCATGTAAATATCACCATATTCTAAACTAGACTCGCCATTGGCCAGCATCTGTTTTCCACAAATATGATGTGAACATGTTATCAAAGCACTGGAAGCTTCTAGCAGAGGTGGAATGACATCTTCAATGACCTCATTCTCATTCTGCCTCACGCGCCGATGCTGTCCTGGGCTCTGCCCATCGAGAGGCCAGGGTGAGGTTGCCACTCTCTCGCGCGGGCCTCGGCGCCCAGAGACCGATAACCGCCGCCCAGAGAGCGTCGACTGCTGTCAGTGTCCATCTACAGTGGTGTAGGAAGCCGAGAAAGGGGAGACCGTGTCTCCGCCTGAAATGATCAGGGAAGGGTTAGGGAGGGGGTGGTACTGAGCAGTCTCACAGGTGAACGGGGTTACACCAGACGAGCGAGGGGTAGCCTTGGTGGTGGTGTTGGGGAGCTGGGCTGGGGGAACAGCTTACACAGAGCGCAGGCATCATGGTGACACACGGTGCCTGAAGAACCGCAGGTTATTCAGTCAGTGCGTGCGGCGCGTGAGAGACTGAACTGGCAAGGAAGCCGGGCTAAGGTGCAGGCATGGGGTTGCAACCGCAGCTCTTCCCCAGGGACTTGGAGATGGGATTAGCCCTGGGGCAGTGGGAAGGAAGATCTAAACAGCGCTTTTGTATAACAGTGAAAGACGGGGCCCTGGGAATGACATTTAGAACATATATTAACCTGCACAGAATTTAAATGTCCAAATCCTGCTTCTCTATGGTTACGGCTCAGTGACAAAGAGAAAAGTGTTCCAAGTAAATGAAGATGGTTTGTAGAAATTGGCCTTTCTGATGACCTTGATCATCGGGTACAACATCTATCTTGAGGGGCAAACTGACTACAGCACCCCTGGGGCCTTACAAATGGGTGGCCGGCCCTGCTTGGGAAGAATTAGCACCAGGACGTCTAAAGCAGGGCTTCCCAAACTTGCAGGTGCACCAGAAGGGCCTGTGGCTTGTCAAAAACATAGAATCCCACCCCAGGGATTCTGGCTTGGGGTCGGGGGCAGGGGGCGGGTTGACAAAATCGCAGGAACCGGCATCTCTAAGAAGCTCCCAGGAGATGCTGATGCTCCCAGTCCGGGGCCGCATCCTGAGCCGCGCTGACCTCCGGGATTTGCGAGGCCGCGCTGCGCTGTCCCCACTGCAGCCCCAGAGACAGGAGGCACAGAGCCAGGAGGCGCAGAGCCTCGCCCCTGCCAGCCCCAGGCCAAAGCCCTTCCAGCAAACCCTTCTCCAAAAGCGACTGGAAAGCTTTCCCATTAAGTATCTTTGATGTCTCCATACTGCTAAATTGGGAACCAAAAGTAATTGAAATTTCAATAATTCATCAACATATTAGAAGCCAAGTAGGAAAATTCCCTCGGAGCAAACTGCATTCAATAGTGAAACAGCTACAAAGTGCCTAAGGCTCCGCGGTGGCCTCTTCCAGTAACTGTGGGCTGATGGAAATGCGTGCTGTCCTCGTAACACGCCAGGCATAGGACGGACCTCAAAAGAACTTAAAGACTAGGAAAGGCACGCCTGTCCAAGCCAAGTGGTACTGCTGGTGAGAGATTACAGGGCTCACTGTGGAATGGTGCCCTGGCAACCAAGAACGGGTGCAGTGTGGATGGCTCCTAACGAAGTAGGGCCCAGGGGAGGGTCCGTTTCCCCCATCGGGCCAGCTTCCTGGCACTGGGTAACCTCCCCAGTGAAGACCATGGATTTCAATTTCTACTGCTGTGAGAGTCTAATGAGGTCCTGAATAATTAACAATGTTAACACCACTCCAAGATCTAAAGAGTGTCTGAATCATTCACAATACAATCAGGGATCTCTTTCTAGAATCCCAATTGGCCCACTCGTCTTGCTTTTAAATAAATACAAATTATCCTGGGCGAGTTATAAAAACTTCATTAAAACTTCTCATGTTTTAAAAAAGTGTTTCTCCTTCCAATCACTAAAGCAAAACATGTTCAGTATGAAAAATTCAGATGACACAGAAAAATGAAAACATGAAAAGTACATATGTTCTTTCTTACTGTAGACATTTACTGCTAGTCATTTCCCACGGCATGTTTGTGCAGAGGCATGCATGCTTAGAATAATTTCTAAATCTAAATATCCATCTTTATTTTATTTTATTACTATTCTTTTAAATCCTCACCTGAGGATACATTTATTGATTTGACAGCGAGTGGGAGAAAAGGAGGGAGAAAAACATTGTTTTGAGAGAGAGAAACATCGATTAGTTGCCTCCCGCATGCATCCTGACTGGGGATCGAACCCACAACCTAGTTATGTGCCCCAACAGGAATGAAATCTGCAACCTTTTTGGTATGGGACAATGCTCCAACCAACCTAATCACCTGGCCACGGGCTACCCATTTTCATTTTAAAAGCTTTGGATCCAGGGGATGTCTTTGAAAACTACAGGATGATAAGCATGCTTATTCTGGTCTACCCTTTATTATTTAATGACAATTGTTAAGCAAGGAGAAAAAATCCAGTTGAAGGGAGTGGAAGAATTCTGTCGTGGAAAGAGAGACTGAGGTAGAGTTAAACAGCCTTCTCTCCCCTCTTGATTGGCATGGGGGAGTCTTAACGTCAATAAATAACGCACAGAAATGAAGGCTACGGTCTGCTGGTTTGGCCGAGGTAAGGCTTAGGAGGGGAAGAAACACTGCTCTTAGATCCTGTCACAGGCTAGATTGTGTTCCTCCAAGAGATATGTCCAGGTTCTAACCCCTGGGATCTGTGAATGTGACTTTACTTTGAAATAAGGTTTTTGTAGATGTAATTAAGAATTAAGGATCTCAAAATGAGATCATCTTGAATATAGGGAAGGCCCTAAATCTAATGACTGGGGTCCTTATAAGAAAAAGGAGGGGAGATTTGAGACACCCAGGGAAGAAGGTCACGTGAAGATCGGGGTGCAGATTGCCGACAAGTCAAAGAACATCGGGCCCAGAAGCTAAATGGAGCAGGAAGGAATTCTCCTCCAGAGCTGTGGGAGGGAGCATGGCCCTGCCAGCAACTTGATTTTGTGGCCTCCAGAACTGTGAGAGAATATACTTCAGTTGTTTTAGGCCATCACATTTGAGCTAATTAACTAATATGTACATCTTTTAAATTTTTTTTAGATTTTATTTATTTTTAGAGAGAGAGGAAGGGAGGGAGAAAGAGAGGGAGAGAAACATTAATGTGGGAAAGAAACATTGATTGGTTGCCTCTTGCAAACCCCCAACTGGGGACGTGGACCGCAACCCAGGCATGTGTCCTGACTGGGAATTGAACCAGTGACCCTTTGGTTCGTGGTATGACGCCCAGCCCACTGAGCCACACCAGTCAGGGCTACCCATCTTTTACTGAAGATATTTTATTAGAGAAAATACAGGGTGGGATAAAAGTAGGTTTACAGTTGTGAGTAGGCAAAACATCAAGTTTATTCTGATTATTGTTTATTCATTATTGTATTTTCCATGCAAACAGCAGAAAACCCATTTCTGGCCCACCCTATATGTTTCTCTGTACAAAACATGTGGTTTGGAGCCGGGGATAGGCAGGAGTCACCGCTACCCCTAAGCAAGGAATTGATATTTGTGGGAAGGTCATTCATCATCCCATACAACCTTTCTCAATTGGGGTTCGTCAACAACAGAACACCCAACATGATTTGAAAGACCACTTTTCTCATTCCTCCTAAAGTTAGTATGTAGCCAGTACCTATCTAGATGCTAAAAGGGAAGTTAATCTGTTACACACATTGGAAACCCGGTCAAGCATGAAGGAAAGTTTATTTTTCAGGGGCTCACAGTCTAGCCAAACACTGCAACATGAACTGTGCTCTGAGAAGAGGCACCGGCAGGGAGTGTCCCAGTATAACAGAGACCTCATCGCCGCCTTCCCAGGGTAGGAAATACTGGGATTTCGTCTCGAAGGCTGAGTATTTGTTCAATAAGCAAATGAAAAGGGCAACAGGGGAGGCTCTGAGGGGTTCGAGGAAGGGAACGACATTAAAATGCCAGAATTCTGCGTCTCACATGTATACCTTAATGACTCTCAAAGGGAGAAAAGGGTTTTATAAAAATCATTTGATCAGAGGAGAGAACAGACTGGAGGAAGAACAAGGAGGTAAGCCAAGCGCTGTCCTGATGGTTCCGGTGCGAAATGATGAGGCTCAAACACAGTGAACTGGGAGCAACAATGGCAAGATACGCCCCAGGTCAGCACTGCCCACCGGAATTTCTGCTAACGACAGCCATAGTCTATGACTGCACCGGCCGCTATGGTCTCGCCTGGCTGGGGAGCACTTGCAATGCGCCCACTGTACCCAAGGAACGGAACTTCTCATTTTATTCTATTTTCATCAATTTAAATTCAAATTTATATAGTTGTACACACCCAGCAGCTACTGTTTTGACCAGTAGCTACTGGATTGACCTGTTCAAAGAAGTAAAACAAACCACAAAACCACAAAACCACCCAACCCTGTGGCCGGGTGACTTAGTGGATCATGGTACAACTCAGCAAAATGGAGAAAACGTAAGGAGGAGCTGATTTTTCAGAGAGAAATTAAGATGCCAGCTTTGGACATGTTGACTCTGGGGTAGCATTTGCTAAGTGAGTGAGGACATTCAGTCCACAATGAAGACATGTAATCTGAGGAAAGGAGGCGAGAGCTGGATGAGGAGCGCAGGACCCGTGGGAGGGCCGGCCGCCCAGGGCAGGGCTTGGCAGGGCTGCTGGGGGGCGAGCGCCCGCAGAGCTCGGCGGGCCGAAGGCTCAACGGAGCACAGTAAGGAGAGGGCGCTTTCGCTCTAGGAGAGAAAGGAAGGCGGTGGG